CAATTTTCCCTATATATTCATCAGTAATGCCTAATGTGACTATGAGGACCCCCCAGGGATGGACTATGCTGGTTCCTGAGGGCTCACTGGTTCTCTGCGAGCGTGCTCCTTCTGAGAGTGTCTGTTCAGGGCCTGTTAGGTTCCGCAGTGGGCGGCGCCCTCCGCCGGGTAAGAGCCGGGAGCAGGCGTGTGGGGGTTAAAAGTGCTCGTAACTTCTCAGTTGTTAGTTCTTTTTAAAAAACAAGTTCATAGAGTTGCCGCCTAATGTTTTATGTTTGCCCAAAAGCTGTCTGTCTACCAGGCTGGGGCCCCTATTGTGACCCTGTCCCGTATTTCTCCCGAGCTCACGTACCTGTCCCACTGGTCAGGGGAGTGCTGCCCTGGCTAGGATATTGTTGAGAATTTTTGAATCTATGTTCATGAGGGATATGGCTGTGTGCCGACTCATAGTGACTCTGTACAGGGTTCCGAGGCTGTAAATCTTTATGGGAATAGAATGCCTCATGTTTCTCCTGCAGAACAGCTGGTATTTTCGAACTGCTGACCTTGCAGTTTGCAGCCCGATTCATAACCACTACGCTACGAGAGCTCATTATGAGAGATATTGGTCTATAATTTTCTTTCTTAGTGATGTATTTCCCTGATTTTAGTATGAGGGCTATGTTTGCTTCATAAAATATATTAGGATGTTTTCCATCCTACTCTATATTCTGGAATAATTTGAATAGCATTGGTGACACTTCTTTCCTTAATGTTTGGTAAAAATCACCACTGAAGCCATCTGGGCCTGGACTTCATTTCAAATTCTGTCCTTTATCCCTAAAGTTGTTTTTCTTTCTTTCTTTTTTTATAATGCTGTATGGGAAACCATGGAAACTTTTCTGGTAATACTTTTTGGGTGACGGGGTGTCTGGAATAAGGCTCCAGATGAAGAAACTGAAAATAGTGGTTCTACCACAGCAGCACTCACTGTGTAAACCTGGGCATGTAGCTTAGCTTTCTGAACCTAAATTTGCTCATTTGTAAAGAAACGGTAATTCCTTTCTTGTCAACCTCAGAAGATAGTTGGACAGAGCACAGGATGTAATGGATATGAGAGGGATTTAGTGAAGCAACCTATAGCTGTTTACCATCTTGCCTCCCTCTCATCCTAAACCTTAGCTTCTTTACCAGGAAGTGAGTCCACACCAGAGGGTTGCTTGCACTTTTCAGCCTTATACACTCTAACAAGCCAAGGCATTACCTCATTGCAGTCAAGCATACCTGCTTTCTAAAAGCAATTACTCAAAACTAGTCCCATTCCTCCTTCTGTTGGCCTCTAGCCCCGCATCATATCTTTATCATTCCCCCAACTCTTCAAGCACAAAGCCACATTCCCAGGGGTCCAACTCAGGGCATTTTCTTCCCAAGCCCCAACATTCCAAAGTAAACATCTGCAATTTATGAGTTCAGCTCCCTTTCTGCACAAAACACATAGCACAAACTGCATGTGTATCAGGAGGGGAATTGTGATGGAGTGGGGGGAAAAAAGCATTATGCTAGGAATCAAGTAACTGTGCTCTTTTCTGGTCAGTGTACCTTACTAGCCTTTTACCCTTGGGTAAATCATTTCCTTTCCATATTCTCATCTATAAAATGATGGAGGTATAAAAAGTGGCATTAGCCCTGTGTGGAAGAAATGTACTGGTCTAGGATCCTAGAGATTGTGTTTCTGATTCTGTTATTGTTGCTCGCTAGCTTATTCTGTGACTTGGGGTACGTTACTTCACCCTATATGTAAAACAAGAAGGTTGGATTGGGTGATTCATTAAGGTCACCAAATCCAATCCCATTGTCACAGAGTTGATCCCAACTCATAGCATCCCTATAGGACAAAATAGAACTGCCCCAAAGGGTTTCCAAGTTCTTTAGTGGCACAGAGTGCCATAGAATGGTTGGTGGGTTCAGCTCTTCCACCTTTCATTTAGAAGCCATGTTAACTGCACAATAAGGGATTCATATTAAGGTTCCCACCAACCTGAAAATTAAATGAATAAATCTATGAAATGGGATTCAGTAAGTAAACATCAATTGGACTGCTTACTCTATGTTAGACACTATTTGAGGAGATTTATGAAAGGGCTTGTGGCTATGTAGAACCCTGAGACTCTTGTTCCTGACAGCATCTCAAATTGGTCACACGTTGGCTCCAAAACAGCCAGTTCCTGCATTTCTTCTACCTTGCATCTCCTCTGTGCCCTCCAACTTCACGTCTAACTTTAAACAATGGAGATGAATTATAGAGAAGTTTTTGAAACCTGCTTTTCCATATGCCGGCTGGAGACATTTACAGGTGTTGTCATCATGCTGCAGTGTGGTCTCTGGCCGCTGTAAACGAGAAATAGGCCAGAAAGCAATGGCAGATTAATGGAGTTGGGAAGGAAGTAGTTGAGTTTTTACAGAGGAGTCTGTGAAAGCTATTTGTGAGCTGGGTTGAGGAGATTAGCTCTGGAAAGACTCTCAGCATCTTAAGTATGGGATTACTTGTTCCAAAAGTGACCTTGAAAGATTCTTGATGTGCTTCTGTTGCCAGGCCAGGGGTGCCTTATCCATCTCAGAAAAGGACAAAATACTGTTTAGAAAGTTGTTACCCATTTTGTTCGTGGGAAAAGTGATTTAACAGTGCTTTCTCAGTGATAGGAGTCCTGGTGTAGCGCTGTGGGTTAATGCTTTGGGCTGCAAAGTCACTTTCAATTGCAAGGCCTGTGGTTCAACCTCACTAGCTGCTTCTTGGAAACCCTATACAAGATTGCTATAGGTCAGAATTGACTCAATGGCACTTAATAACAACAACTCAGTGATAGGCATTGGATATGAGACTTGTTTTTAAGTGCCTTTGAGTCAATTCCAACTCACAGTGATCCTGTATAAGGTTTCAAAGGAGCAGCTGGTGGGTTTGAATTGCTGACATTGAGGTTAGCAGTCCAGTGCTTATCCTCTAGTGCCACACCAGGACCTCTTATTCTCTTCTACCTATTTTTAACATAGCTGATGCATCCACATGAAAAGCATACATTAATGTCCCGTTGGATGTCCTATCCAAGTCAAATATAACTCCATGCTTCCCTCTTCATTGTAGTAGGAGTAGGCCTTGTGTGTTTGCTTCCTTCCTCCTTCACTCTGAAAACAGTGTGAATCTTGAGATACTGCTTCCTTCCTGTTCTCCATGCCAGCAAGACCAGTCAGCTAGTAGTCTAGGTGCACCCAGGGCAGCCTTGTTTACATTCAGCTTTTCTCCTGTCACTTGTTCTGAGCTTTATGACAAGAATTAAAAGGTTGTATTTGAGTTGACAGAGTAGTCACTAATTATGTTTTATGGTTCTTCTATTGCAGCCTGGACACCATAGACTTCTACATCAGGCAGAAGGAAAGGAAGATGGAAAAATTACTGAGAAGCAGAATTCCAGAGGGACCCAAATGATCTTCAAGAAATAATGTTAGCCAGAAGTAACATCCAAGTAGCACATTATTGAACCTCATAACTGGCCAGCCAGACAAATAACTAGGTCATTGGAGCCTACATGCTAACTTTCTGAATCTGGTGCTGTGACCCAAGTCTTCTTTTCATCCCTGCAGAGAAACTTGAGACCATGAGGAGTAGCCTGACCCTAGTGGGGACCCTTTGGGCCTTCCTATCTCTTGTTACCGCTGTGGCCAGTTCTACCAGTTATTTTCTGCCTTACTGGCTCTTCGGATCCCAGCTAGGGAAGCCAGTGTCATTCAGCACATTCCGGAGGTGCAACTACCCTGTTCGGGGAGAAGGGCACAATCTAATCATGGTGGAGGAATGTGGGCGCTATGCTAGCTTCAGTGCCATCCCAAGCCTGGCCTGGCAGATGTGCACAGTGGTGACAGGTACTGGCTGTGCTTTGTTGCTCCTGGTGGCACTGGCTGCTGTCCTGGGCTGCTGCATGGAAGAACTCATCTCCAGAATGACGGGACGTTGCATGGGAGCAGCACAATTTGTGGGAGGTAAGACCTGGGACCCTGGAATAGTAGGTTGGGTAGCTTGAGAGAGGAAATTTAGGAGTGTGAACCTATGAGGAAATCTTCTCTCACCCTTTACCTTAAGTCTAACTCTAAGGCAACTTTGAAATATGTAGTTTAGGATTCCCCAAAGTGTAATCTCCATCAGGACTTTTATTCATAGTAAAATTGGCCAATGGGCATGGTTTTCTGTTCTTAGCCTTCATTTTTGGAACTTTCTTCTACCTGCAAGTTATCCATTGTATATTCAGAGCTGTCTTCCAAGGACAGAAATATGTATTGTTGTTGTTGTTGTTGAGTGCTGTTGAGTTGGTTCCAACTCACAGTGACGCTGCATAGGGTTTCTGAGGAGTGGCTGGTAAGTCTGAACTGCCGACCTTACAATTCAAACCAACTTTCTGTCTTGTGTTTATGCTACAGCACCACAGCGGGACTCCTATTGTAGAATTACTGCTTCAAAATAATGCGATCTCTGAGAGTCCTGCTGATTATATGGATATGAATAATTTAATGGACAGTCTTCACCAAAGAAAAATCTCTAATTCTGAAGATCTAGGTACCAGATTGCTACTAATTTATCCTACATCTAGGGATACCCCTATGTAGTATCCCTGGACAGTTTTACCTAAATTTTTTGTGACTTGGACATACCAACTTGTTTCCTCCAATCAGGCTTCTTCTTCTAATTTTAGTGCAGGGAACCTGAGTATAAGCAGTGAGTGCGAAAATGGCCAACTGCAGTAAGGTAGTGGGAGTTGTGGAATTTGAAACTGTGTAAGAAGTGAAAAACAAAGCAAAACAAATATAGACAGATAAAGGCAAATATGTGTGGGAATATTTGAGCTATCTTGTAAACCTCTAGGAAAAGGTGTTGGTAGAGCATACTTATAAAGTTTGTTTTTGCTGCTGTTGAAGCTCTCTGAATTTTAGAAGCATTGTCTCATTCATTCTCATTGCCATCTCCAGTAGCAGCACATTGTGGGTGACTAGAGCCAGGAAATATGGATTCCACCTCTGACTTTTTCAACAAGTTCCTCTGTTGTTATTGTCATTGTTCAGTGCTGTTGAGTCATTGATAAGTTCCAACTTATGGAGGTCCTGCATAGGGTTTCTGAGGAACTGCTAGTGTCTTTGAACAGATAATCTTGCAGTTAGAAGTTCAGTGCTTATCCTACAGTGCCACACCAGGACTCCAGTACCTCTGTGACCATGGGCAAATGACATGACCTTTCCTATATTTTATTTCCCTTGAATTTTTTCACTGGGAACAAAGCCCAGATCCTATTTTCTTCCTTCTCTCCAATGACTACATTCAGGTGGCCTTGGGGTAAGATGATATTGATGGATTAAAGCAGTGATTGATTATAAACTGGGAGGTGCTTTTGTCCCCTAAATGACATTTGGCAATGTATGGGGACATTTATGGTTGTCTCAACTTGGATAAGTGCTATTGACATCCAGAGGTTAAAGGACAAGGATGCTGCTGCTAAACATACTACTGTGCATAAGATATACTTCCCCTCCTCAAACCACACAAATACCTGAGGCAAAATGTCAATAGTGCCAAGGTGGAGAAATCCTGGGTTGAAGCACTAAGATTTTGGGATTGCTGATGAAAAGTACCAAATTCATTTGCCATGCCCATTAAGGTGACATTTTCTGTTTTATCTTTTCCTCAGAGTCATTGTAAAAGTTTTAAATCTGAAATGTAGTTCTAACCTCCTTTATCTCTAAATTGTTCTCCCTTTTAACCACTACTTTTTTTCTGGACACATTGAAAAATAGAATTATGTTAATTTTCTTTCTTCTCCTTGAAAACTATGGCTCCAAACTAAATGCTCAAGGCTGGTCCAAGTCAATGATCTAATCTACTTATGTGACCTCAGAGGCAATCACAAATGAGTCTTAAGTTTAACTTTTACCTGCATTCCTGGGCATGCTAGGTCTGTACTTCTATGGACACGTTACTTCAGGAATTGACACTTGGCTAGACTGAATAACAGGTGATAATTTGTAATTCATAGATATAGCACCAGTGCCCAGAGTCCGGCACAAAGGAGGTGATCAATAACTGTAGAAAGAACCAGTGCATGACTAAGGCAGTGAATCATATATGTTGTAGATAAATTGGACATAGCAAAGCTGGGTCAGTTCATTCACATTCTTTCCTTTTATTCCAGGCTTCCATGTAGGATTGTTTGTTGCTGTTGTTAAGTGCCATAAAGTCAATACCAACTCATAGTGACCCTGTATAGTGTTTCTGAGGAGCAGCTGGTGGGATTGAACCACTGAACTTGTGGTTAATAGTCCAGTGCTTTTCCTACAGTACCACCCAGGACTCCGAGGAGCTGGTTGTTGTTGTTGTCAGATGCCATCGAGTCGGAACTGACTCATAGCGACTCCATGCACAGCAGAATGAAACAATGTCCAATCCTGGCCCAACGTCACTACTGCTGCCACAGTTGATGCCATCAATGGTGCCACCTGGCTGATCCATCTCATTGGGGGTCTTCCTCTTTTTCTCTGACTCTCCATCTTACCCAGCATGGCATCCTTCTCTAGCAACTGTTTCCTCCTGACAATATGTCCAAAGTATGAGAGACGAAGCTTAGCCATCTTGGCCTCCAAGGAGCACTCTGGCTGCATCTCTTCCAAAACAGATCTATTAGTTCTTTTGGCAGTC